CTCCAGGAGGCAGCCCCTCTTCTCCAGTGCCACCCCAGGGCTTCGTGACCTTCCTGGCACGGTACCTGGGGTCAAAGTTAGCCACAGTGCGCAGAGAGTGGGGGTTGGCCAGCAGCTGCTCCAGGTGGGCATCAAGCTGGTGAAAGGGGGGCCGGTTGGCGCGGTCATAGGCCCAGCAGCTCTTCATGAGCTCGTACAGCGTGGCCGGGCAGTCCACGGGTGGTGGCAGCCGGTACCCGTCCTCGATGCTCTTCATCACCTGTGGGCGCCATAGGCAGCTCCATCCACATGGGCACGGCAGTGGTCTTGGCCGGCCCAGCTCAGACCATGAGGGGCAGGGCGGGCAGTGAGCCCCAGCCTCACCTCTTGGTTGCTCATGTCGCCATAGGGCTTGTCCCCGAAGCTCAATACCTCCCACATCACGATCCCGAAGCTCCACACGTCACTGGCGCAGGTGAAGATCCGGTGGGCGATGGCTTCGGGGGCCGTCCATCGAATGGGGATCTTGCCCCCCTAAGGGCATCATGGGTGGGGGGTTCAGGACACAGTGGTGGGACCCCGGCAGCAGGGTCCATATGCCCACAGGCCCTTGTGCTTTTGCTGAGTGTGTGCAAATGTGTGTGCATGTGAGTGTGCACATGAGTGTACTATGTGATATGTACTGTGTGTGCATGTCATGTCAGTGAGCGTGTGTGTGCTGACTGCACATAATGAATACATTTGTGTGTGTATGGGGTGTGATCACCTCTGTGTGAGTGCATGTGTAGTTCTGTGTATAGGATGTGGTTATTTGCATGTGTACATGTGTATGGTGTGTGAACACATGCATGTGCTGTGTATAATGTGTGACGTGTATGTGCAGTATATAGTATATTAAAACGTGTACATGAATATGGTATGTGATCATCTATGTGTATGTACAGTGTATGGTGTGTGAATACATGCATGCAACTGTGTATGGTGTGTGAACACATGCATGTGCTGTGTATGGTGTGTGAATACATATGTATACGTGTGTGGTATGTGATCACGTGTGCATGTGTATAGGCCTTGTGGTATGAGATCGTGTGTGTGCTCGCGTGCGTGCATGGGTGTTATGTGGTGAGATCGTGTGTGCGTGCGCGCATGGGTGCTGTGAGACCAGGTGTGTGTGTGTGTGTGTGTGTGTGTGCATGGGTGCTGTGATACCAGGCATGTGTGTGCGTGTGCATGGGTGCTGTTGGTGTGAGACCAAGCATGTGTGTGTGTGCCATGGCATGAGGTCAGCATGTGTGCGTGTGCTCACATGGGACTGTGTGTACGCCACACTGTACTGTGACATCACACATAGGTGCCGGACTGCGGTGTGGGATGAGACCAGGTGCGTGTGCCATGGAGGGTGTGGGGCTCACACCTGGGTCTCATAGGTGCCCTCGAAGTTGTCGAGGAGCCGAGTCAGGCCGAAATCGGACACCTTGCAGCACAGGCCCTCGTTGACCAGGACGTTCCTGGCGGCCAGGTCCCGGTGGACGTAGTTATGGTCACTGAGGTAGCTCATGCCAGATGCTATGCCTTGCATCATGGCCGTCAGCTGTGTGGGGGACAGCTGGTCTTCCCTTTCCTGCATAGGGAGGCACGTTAGTGGGGGGCTGTCCTTGGCTTGGGGCCACCCAGCCAGCCTCTGCCCTGCTCACCCTCAGGAAGGCATCCAGGGCGCCCCGGTCCATGTACTCTGTGATGATCATGATGGGCTTCCCTAGGGCAGGGCACGCACAGTCATGCCGGCCCGCTGCCCCTCACCACCCCTGCCCCCTGCCCTGGACCCTCTTCACCGTACTCCGGGTGATAACGCCTTCCAGCCGCAGGATGTGTGGGTGGCTGAACTGGCCCATGATTGTCGCCTCGCGGAGGAAGCTCCACCAGTGGCCATCAGGGGAGGTGTCCTTCAAGGTCTTAACAGCCACCGTCTTGCACTCCTGACCAGGGAGCCGGAGGGAGCCTCGGTAGACCTCCCCAAACTCTCCTGGGGGCGGGGGAGGGGCTGGCTCAGACCCTCCCAGCAGACAGGGACCAGGTGCAGCCCTTGGTACCTTGCCTGGGTCCTTGGAGGGTCAGACATTTGGCTGCCCGCCCAAGGGCACAAGGGCTAGAGATCTACAGGAGTGAGTGCCACCCCCACCTCCCCCAGCACTGTCCTGGGCTCAGATGTGCTCAGGGAGGGAGCGTATCATCAGGGGCAGGCAGGAAGACTGGAGCAGTGAGGAGGGGGAAGATAGGAGGATGGGGGGACAGGAGGGCTGGGGGGTGGATAGGAGGGTGGGGGGGATGGGACAGGTGAGGGGCAGAGGGACTGGGGCCAAGGCCAGTGCAGGTCATCATCCATGCCCCCCTCCCGGGGTCCCCTCAATTCCAGCTGGTCAGCTTATGCTTTGTTGTCTGGGCAGATCCATTTCCTGAGGTGGCCCCAGTGACCAGGGCAGCACAAGCACACGATGGGGGTGGGGTGAGTACAGCACTTGGGCAGGAGGCTGTGACCCAGTAGAGCCTGGGACCGACAGCTGTGTGAGCTCAGCCCAACACTCAGACATGCAGCAGAAGCTGGGTAAGGGTTGGAGGAGGGCACCCACGGGTGCAGCTGGTGGGTGGGGGTGCAGGGAGAAGGTAACAGGAGGGGCTTACCTTCCCCGATGACTGTGTCCACGACCAACGCGGCAGGGTCCAGCTCGTGGGTGAAGTCTAGCGCTCCTTGGGCAGGGTCATCGTATGCCTGGAGGTCCACGTATGGCTTCAGCCAGAGTTTATCCTCTGTGGGGACAGGGCGCTCAGCTGGGGGACCCAAGGGGTGTCCTTTGTGGGGACAGGGCGCTTAGCTGGGACCTTCAGTGCTCGGGGAGGTAAAGGAAAAGTCCAGCCAGCACTGTGGTTTTCTCCCCCCCACCCCAAAGTTAAGTGGGGAGAAGCCCTTCAGGGACATGCCTCCTCAGCCAGCACCCCCCCATCCATGTCACTGTCACTCAGACCCCCTAGTGCCTGCCCCAGCCTCCCCCCATCACTCTCGCCTGGCTTTCAGACAGGCCACCCCCAGCCAGTGGCAAGGAATGACACCCTAATGAGGTGACCAGCATGAGGCCCACATGCCTGCAGTCCAGGGGCTCAGGACAACGGGTAACACAGAGCTGCACCGTGGGGCAAGCGCTCACTTGTCTACCACATCAGTGAGGCCCAGCACTGGACCAGCAGGCACAAGGAGCCCTGGGCCCTTCTCAGTGGCCTTGCCACACCTTCGCCCCTACACACACACACACACACACACACACACACACACACACTCAGGCATGTACACATGTGCACACACACAAGCTGGCATGCACACAGTCATGCACACCCGTGCTCACACACAGGCGCCGGCTTGCTCACCGTGTTCCACGTCCGCCCCACGCTCACGCTGCCTCTGCTGCCGCCTCCGCTGGGCTCTCCTGTGGGGTGGGGGCTGCACTTCAGCCTGGGGGGGTCCCTCTCCAGCCACGGGAATGCCTGGGACCTGGGCTGAACCCTCCCGGCTGAGAGGCGGGTCACATGAGTACCAAGTCCTGGGGGTGGGAGGGGTTGGGGGGGGGAACTGAGAGTGGGAGGGGCTGGGGTCAGCACCTGGACTGGAAGACGAGGATGCCCAGCAGCAGTGCCACGCCCAGCAGAAGCCCGAAGATGACAGCGACGATCTCCCCTCCCGACAGACCCCTGGAAGCTGAGGGCAGGTGTGGTCAAGGAGGGTAGGCAGGGGGCAAGGCTGGGCTTTTGTACGTGCCCCGCCCCGTATGGGGAGATGTGTGTGTGCCTGCATATGGGCACATGTATGCGGTGCAGGGCATGTGCTGGCCCCTGCACTGAGCACTGCACATGCGTGGCATGCACCTGCATGGACCATGTACACACACACAGGTGTGTGCACACCAGTGTGCTCACACAAGCAAGGCGACTCACGGGGCAGGCTGGTCCGGAACTCATGCTTGGGGGAGAAGGGGCCGGGGCCCTGCGAAGTCACTGTGCGCACTCTGATGGTGTATGTGGTGTCTGGCTGCAGCTCGGTCAGCAGGACCCTGGGCTCTAGAACCATCTGGTGCCGCTCTTCGTCCTGTGGGTGGGGCCATGTAAGGGCAGAGCTTGGGAGGCTGCGGGGAGTGGGGGGTGGCGGTGTCTTGGGCGCATGTCCCCTGACCTGGCTCAGCACGTGCAGCTCATAGGTGAGGTTGTTGGTGGGGCTGCGAGGCTGTGTGCCCGTCCAGGCCAGCTCCAGCTGGTGTGGCGCTTTCTTCACCAGCCGCAGGGACAGGCTGGCCAGCGGCTCTGGGATGACAAGTGGGGTGAGGGAGTCGCAGGCATGTGACAGGAGCCCCTCACCAGCCCTCCTGCTGGTCCTCACCTGCATGGCCTGTGCTGACATTGAGCGAGGAGCTGGCAGGCTGGGAGGCACCCAGCCCTGACACCCCATTCTGGGCGTCTACCTCGACGGTGTAGTTGGCCAACGACTCCAGGCCATCTATGCGCACAGCTGGTTCAGAGAGCCCTCGGGCTCCGGGGGAGAAGCGCACACTGTCCCCACAGGGCTGGCAGGGGCCCCCGTCCGAGCGGGTCCCCAGACACCGGGAGCACCCCACATTATACCTGACATCCTGGCGGTCCCCCAGATCTGCTGGGGGCTCCCAGCGCAGGAAGAGCTGGGATCCCAAAACAGAGAAGCTCAGGTCTCGGGGCGCAGAGGGGGGCCCTGTGGAATATAGGGTATCAACAGGGACTACATCTGCTACCTCCTGCCTCCTTCCATCTTTAGAGGGCCTCTGTCTACCTCTTAGCTGTCTGCACCCACAAAGCATGGGGCCTGTGTCCCCTACTCACGTGTGCAGGCCACGTGGGGCCCTTCCCCGGGGGCTCGGTAGTAGCCACTCTCACAGGTACAGATGGTGGTTCCCTTCAAGGGGGCCGAGCTGTGCAGGGGGCACGGGACGCATTGAGGGGTATCCATATTGGCACGGTAGGAGTCCTGGGGACAGGCTAGGGGAGAGAAGAGCCCGTGTCACTGAACAGTTTATAGGTCCGAGATGCTCAATCCCACCCAACCTGGGCAGGTTTCTGAGGCCCTGGGCTCTGCCCACTTCTGCACCCAGTGGGTCCTGGTTCCCCTTGAGGCCCTTACCTGTGCAGGCCGAGCTGTCTGGGCCCTCCTGGAAGCCAAGTTCACAATGGCACCGCCCTACGGGCACCAGCCACTCACCATCAGGGCTACAGTGCAGGCGGGGTACACCTGAGGGGCTGGCGTGGGCATGGGGCACACAGGTCCCTGTCACTTCCACCAGCCCGCCGGGGCCTGGGAGCATGCCTGGGAATTGGGCCAGGCCGTGCACGGTCTCCGGACAGCGCTGGTAGAAGACCCGCACGGATACCAGGGCCACACAGGCACCGGGGTTGTGGAAGGCCAAGTAGAGACCCCGGTGTGCCAGGTGTCCCAGCGAGCAGCGCTCCACGTTGAGTTTGACTGCGCCCGATGCCAGGTCCGGGGTGGTAAAGCTCTGGTCTGCGGCCACGGTGGTCACCTGGAGAAGGGGCCGTGGCAGTCACACTTCAGACCATGTGGCTGGTGGTTCGGTGGGCAGCCTAGGGCCTCCATTTCTGAGTCCCTGCAGCCCTCCTAGGAGGCGGATGGGTATCGCCCATTGAACAGAGGAGGAAGCTGAGGCCCAGCTACTAGGGGTGGTGCAGCAGGGTAGGTGCTGGACCCTTAACTTCAAGGTCATATTTCAACCACCAGCCGCTCCTCTTTCTCCGTAGAGTTGCAGCCTCAGAAACGCAGGGAGCAGTTCGACTGTGTGCTATATGGGTGCTCTGAGTCAGAATCCACTGATGGCAGTGATGTTTTCGAGGGGTGAGGCTGGAGCTGAGCGGGGAGCCTGGCCGAGGGTTATAGTCTCCACTGTAGCGGAGTCCCACCTTGGTCCATGCTCGGTTATAAAGCGCGTCCTCACGCACTTTGTCTTCACAGGCTGCGCACCATTTTCTCTTTCGGTATAGCACGCCACTCTCTTGGACACCCCCACCCCCGCAGCCCCCGCACGCAGTAGTCACAGAGTCCGCAGTCCGCCATCCGCTCTGGGGCGCCCCGCCCATTGCACAGCCCCGTCCTAACCCCCAGCCCCAACCCCACCGTGGGTGTGCTGGCCTGCTCACCACACCCGCCTCCAGTGGATCCCCACTTGGTGACTCTACAGGGCGGAGAACACAGCATGTTGGGTTGCCTAAGCGGATCACTGCGCGTCTCTCGCTCGCTGAGGGGCAGGTGGGTTGGAAGGGTCTTTTTCGTTCAAGCAGTGGAATGCTTTAACCTGTGCGCCAGCAGAGCCCCTTGGTCTCCCCACCAACTGGACCGTGGAGGGGTCGATTCCAGATACAGACCCTACATTGAGTTTCTGAGGCTGCAAATCTCTACGGGAGCAGACAGCCTCATCTTTCTCTCGCGGGGTGGCTGGTGGGTTTGAATCCCGCCCTGATGCTGATCTTACAGCGCTGCCAGGGACCCTTGGCCTCCCCACGGAGTCTCTTAAGAGCCTCTAGCACCCTTGAGTACACTACGGTCGGTTCTACTCCGCACTGTGGCTGCGCGCGGGTCTCGGGTGCACCACCGGTTCCTAGCCCGCATGCGCGGTCACCCATCCTGCCCCGACCCCGCTGGACCCGACTGAACTTCTTGCCTTCTGGAAGAGGGGCCGGCGCAGCTGGACGCCCACGTCCTGGTCGCTCTCCATGAAGTGCAGGCTGAAGGTCTCCTTGCAGCTGGCGGGCCCCGCGCCACGTGGGAAGCTCTTGCAGTCGCGCACCGTGAACTGCAGTTCCACGTGCACGCGCGCCGCCGCCTCGCCCCGGTAGATCCAGCTGGAGCGCAGCCAGTGGTCCACGTCGCCACCTGCCTCCAGCGGGCAGTCCTGGTACATGTACAGCGGCGTCCCGTTCAGCATCTGCTGGACCTCGCTCCACTAGGGGAGGGACAGAGTCAAGGGCTGCCCTGGCCCCCACACCCACCATCCTCGGAGCACCCATCACTGGGCCCTGGAGAAGGGCTAGGGGTGAGAGTGGGGGGTTATGTGGAGATGAGAGATGGGGCAACCGAAGCCCCTCCCAGGAGCCCCCTCTGCCTGTCAGGCGTTGGCGTCAGCTCCACCCTTTTCCTTGATACCCCAAAGTCAGATTTACATTCTGAACCCTCCTCACAAGACACTGGGCCTCTTTGTCCAGAGAGGGAAGGCAGGTCGAGTATTTCCACGCGCGCCCCACCCCCCACCAGCTATTTTTGAAGGGAGGGGGCAAGGACAGTCCTCTGCCCAGGGCACTCTCGGTTTCCCCAAGGATGGCCTACCATGGCCATTGCCAAGGTCAAGAAATGCCGAGCTGTCTCACAGCCACCACTGAGGCCCCTTCTCCAGAATCTCTACAATAGAACCATTTAAACAACTTCACAATAAGGGGGAACACAGTTTGCAGGGTTTGGAGACCTGGTGGTGTAGTGGTTATATGTTGGCCTGCGTTCTACATGGCGGGCAGTTTGAGCCCACCAGCTGCTCCACAAGAGAAAGACTTTATACTTCTGCAAACAGTTACAGAAACCTACAGGGGGTCGCTATGAGTCAGTATTGACTCAATGGCAGTGATTAGTTAGCAAGGAGGAGAGGGCATCTCGAAGCCCTTTCACGGGGGAACTAAAGCACAGAGTATTGTCCTAGGTAAGTGGCTTGTCAAATGCATTACGCATCCTAACTCTTCATCATTATGCTATTTCTAGAATGTTAAAGAGGAAGACTTTCTTAAAATAAAGAAATAACGTGTCGTCCCCCCACCCCCACCTTCATCCTCCCTCCACCAGGGCAGCCACTCTTAAGAATGTGGAGTAAAACTTTCTGGACCATTTTCAATATCTCCACAGACATGTTTTAATGTGTCTGTTTTGCTTTTAATGCAAATGAGCTCACACAAGCATCAATGTGTGTGTGTGTGTGTGTATGTGTGTGTGTGTGTCAAACACATCTTTGAGAGATATTCACATCAGTGGACGTATAGACCTGATCTGTCTTGGAGGGAAGTACAGCCAGAGTGTTCCTTAGAGACAAGGATGGCGAGAGTCCTTCTCGTGTTCTCTGGTCGTGTTGTCAGGAGATCGGTCTCCAGAGAAGGGCATTGTGCTTGGTGAAGAAGAGGGGCCGTGGAAAGAGGAAGACCCTTCACGGTGGCTGCAACGTCGGACTAAGAACGTAAGAACCAGCGCGAGGGTGGTGCAGGACGGGGCAGTGTTTCCTTCTGCTGTACAGCGGTCGCTATGAGCCAGACCTGACTCGAGGCCACCTAACAACAGTTGCTTTTGGGAGTCCACGGGAGAGCAGTCCACGGGAGAGCAGTCCACGGGAGAGCACTGCGTTGCATGCACGTCCTGCAATGTATTGAACCGGTCACCTACTGTCTGACATTTGGGAAGCTTCCAGCTTAGTTTCAAGCGAACGCACAGATTTCCAGAAGATTTTTGCAGAATGCCTATCCGCGGGGGTGGCCCTCTAAGGTGCAACTACTGGTCCCCCCTCCTCTGGAGCAAAAAAAGTGAAGACAATTGAAGACATAGAGAAACAATTAGCCCAATGGACTAATAAGCCCAAACACACATCAGCTCCATACCCCTGAGACCAGAAGAAATAGATGTTGCCCGGCTGCCACTACCACTACCACCACCACCACCACCACCACCACCACCACCACCACCGACTGCTCAGGGGAGGAGCACCCTAGATCCTGGATAGAGTGGGAGGAAAGTATGACACCAAACTTCAAATCATTAAAAAAAAAAAAAAAAAGGCCAGGCTTACTGGTCAGCTAGAGATGGGCCGAGCCTCTGAGACTAGGGTCTCCCCCAGTTCAGATCTGGAACTGATCTCACTCCCCTGCCTCAATTTTCAGCCCAGCAACAGACAGGCTGGTAAGAGGGACAAGACGGAGGGAGGTACTCGTATCGCCGACACATTAACCGTTTGAGATCAAGAGGGTGGCATTGACCCTGGGACCAAGCTCAAAGGGTGAGAAAAGAAAAGAAGTGGGGCAACAGGAAGGACATGGGTCAGTGAGGTTACTTTATGGGAAGGGCCGTGCATGACGGGAAACAGACTCACTGCCATTGAGTGGATGCTCACTCACAGCCACCCTATAGAGAGAAGTGAAACACACAGCAGGGAAATAAAAACTGGAAACATTGTAATAAGATCATGTCAAACTGCTCTCCCAAATGGCTCTCTACTCCAACAGCCCTGTTGGCAAAGCCTCCGGTCCTGTGTTTCAGGGTCTCATCCACACAGGCTATCAGTGGACCCCAGGCCCCTTCCTACTCTCTGCCAGCCTGACCGACAGCAGAAGCCCAGCTCCTGGTCTTCTGAAGAGACTGCACACGCATTCCTGTGGGTCCCTGGGCACTTGTATCTTGGGGCAAGAACCTGCTCGCCGGGGAGCCATGGTGGTGCCCTCGGCCACTAACGGGAGAGTCAGTGGTTTGAATCCACTAGCTGCTCTTCAGGAGAAGGCTGCGGCAGACAGACTGCTGACCCCCTTGGGGATCCCAGGGGGCCGTCCGTTCTACTCTGTCCTGGAAGGCAGCTGTGAGTCAGAATGGACTCGTGGGCCGTGGGTGGTTGGTCTGCCTTTAATCGGCTCATCACTTTCCTCACGGTCCTGTTGCTCTCTCTTTAGAGTCTTCCTTTCAGTCAGTATTTATAAGGTGTCGAAATGACTGATCATTTCCTGGGCCTGCACGGTACAGATCTTCTCTCCCTGCCGACCACATGCCACCCGCTTTTGCGAATGGCGCCTTTCTGGTTGACACACGTTTAAAATTCCCCAGAAAGTGACACCCCTCACCGTCCCCTTTTCAGTTTCTGGGCAGGAAAAGGACGTCCTCTCCTCAGACTGTGAAGGGTGTTTGGGGAGCTTGGTTTGCAGCCTGAGACTTAGCCCTGGCCAGAGAGTGAAATGGGTGGGTTATCTTTATGGATGGGCTTGTCTTTCTTAATGATTTCTCTTCACTACTCCAGCCTTCCGACCCTGAGCTGCAAATTCACACCCCAAACTTCCCAACACGTTCTGCTGTGGCTCTGTTTTGGGACATTCTCTTGTGCTCTGTGGCCCTGTGTATTCCCGAGCAAGGCCATACGTTTAATTATAGCCGGTGCACTGCACGTCCTGGTATCTGGTCAGACAGGTCCTCCCATTTCATTATTGTTCTTGTAATTTGCAGTCATCTGTAAGTATTTTTTTTCTTACAGGCGAATTGCAGTAAAGAAAGTGGTTCTGAAATGCTATGCGCTACCCAGTCCACAGGGCACCCCAACACTGTCTAGAGGAGCCAGGCGGGGTTCTTAGGATGTTGCCTCGCCCATGGAAGTGAGGGGGGTGTTGGCCTGTCTGCATGACCACTCAGACTTCTACCACTTCTCTGCTCTGAGGGAGTCAAGAAAAGACACTATCAAGGCATCTGTTAGATGATGGGGGTGGGGTACTAAAAGGACCAAGATCCTGGCCCCGGGGTGGCATGGGATGAGGCCAGGGGACAGAGGGGCAGTGGAGGTTAATGCCCAGCCCACTAGCCAGGTCACCAGGGCTGCAGCTGGAGCCAGAGCAGCCAATATTCCCCACTGTGGCTGGCTCACCCAAGTCTCAGCAGTGACAGGTGTGGGGATCAGCTGCTGGATACCTGAAGAAGCAGCCTGGCACTTCTCGCCGGTCCACTGCAGTGGCTATGGGGTATACTCTGGGGAGCTGGGGCTGTGTGTGTGCATGCACATGTGTGAATATGCAGGTATATACATAGACATGCGTGTGCTGAAGCAAGGAGGCACACAGTGTGGCCAATGGGATGTCTCAGCTGGCTGCCCTCCATAGTAAGGGGGTGGAAGGGTCCACCCCTATCGCTGGGCACGGGGAGGGCCTTGATGAGCCACCAGATGGACTGGCAGCCATTGTCGTGGAGTGATTAGCTGGTTTATAGGACTAGGCGCCTATTAGGACTGCCCTAATCCTGGACTTCCCAAGCAGCCTGTCCTGTAGGGTATATTATGGTTTAGTCTATTCATGCTAATTATAGGCCTCTGTGGGAGAGCAGAGACTGGAGCCAAGTCCCAGGACCCAGAAGGAAGGCCCCGTCAGCCCAGGCCAGGCACCCTGAGAGAAAGCCCACCAGAGCTAGAGGCCCTGGATCATGGAGGCTCAGCAGGGGGCAGAGAGGTATTCTCGAAAGTCCGTGGCGGCTTACCCTGCATCTTGCCCTGTTTAAGGGGGGCATAGGGGCATCAGGAGGGAAGGACAGGGGCGGGGCGGGCTGGGTCCGGCCAGCCACTGGCCGGGGTCCATGGTGTGCACTGCCCACCTGGTAGGCATGGCTCACATCCCCTGGCCCCCAGGAGCAGCTTGTACTTTGGAAGCGAGTCATAGACCCTCTGAGAAACATGTTAACAGTGTGGCCCTCTCCCTGCCCCATACACTCAATCTACAATATCCATATGGGTTCCCTGGCCCCCAAGTCTCCCTTCTGCAGCCCTTTTAGGGCTGCTGAGCCTCACAAGACCACTATTGGAGGTTTCTAGTCCCCTCCCACCTCCCTCCACCCCAAGCAAGGACCTAGTCTCAGA